TGCTTTGGTTGCGTACGTCATTCCGGCCTCTCATAATTGTGCCCCTTCTTTTAAGCTTCTTTTATTCTATCCTTCTTTATTTCCCCTTTTTTCTTTTTAGTGGTGGTCGAATCCTATAGAGATTGCCTACGCATCATGTCCCCGCATGAACCAGACCGTGCGTAGTTTTGTCAGATAAGTGTGAAAGTAAATATTTTTGGGATTTTCAGCTTTTATAAAAATAGATGCTTCGATCATAAAGACTCAATACTAACAAATTTCAAAAGACTAACAGACTCTGATGCAAAGACAAAATACAGAATCTGAAATTAAGCTATCATACTTTAAAGAAATATAGACTCAAAACAGAGAGAAAATATAAACCCAACATGCCTTAAGACTCTGACAGAAAAGGAAATACAGACTCAAACTGAAAATCATGAGTACATCAATGCTCCTGGTGTCCGTGGGACATCATTCGGTCTCGCCACGGGCCTATGTGCAAGATCCCTTTGAAGTCGGCCCAAGCTGTACATTATTTGTTTAACAAAGGTCATCACCACTGCAAAGAATGTAGTGCGAGTCATATCCTCACAAATGTGTCACTTCATAACGATGTAGTCAGTGATGTTTCTAATTCTCTTTCTTATGACGTCCTTTTCTTGTAACAAACGCCCAATCTGCTGGGCTCTGGCCTCCAAAGTTTGCTTGGCTGCATAGTTTTGTTCCTGAAGTTGTTGCAAGTCTATTTCTAACTGCGGCAATGTCGTGTAACAGTGTTCCCTTTCAACCTTGAAGTCTTTTGCCTGCTTGATCATTTTGTTTTCCTTGGCGATGACCCTTTTCTTCAACCCCGCGACCTCATCGTCGTACCTTTCTCTTAATTGCTTAACCAGGCATACCCGTTCATCTGCATTTTTAGCCAATTATTTTTTAGCCCTGGCCAGTTCACTTTCTGCTTTGTTCAAATAGAAAATATAGTTGCTTACTTTCTGCCTTAGGTTAGCTACGAGTTTTTCATCTCTGTTACTTCGGACTGGATTTTCTGCTGCTACTTTTAGTTTCTGCATTTGAGCTCGAAGGGCCTCATTTTCTTTGGCTAACCTTTTCTTTTCACCCTCATCCATCGCTGCTTGTAAGCCATTCTCGAATTGAAGGTCTTTGACTTGCTTCTCAAACTTTCCTATCGTGGCCCTGTACTCGTTTTCCTTGGCCAACCAAGCCCATGGTTCTTGAAATGCCTCGACGAATTCCTGAATGTGCGGTTTTTTGGCTGGTCTTTCTGATTCGGCCCTTGCAGTGTTCTTCTTTCTATACCAGGCAAGGTAGGCGGGTGAGACCTCTCCTTTAGATAGGTTCCTCACTCGGGTGCTTGCCGTTAAATATTGGCACTCATTCCAAATAGAACGAACCGTTTCTTCGTGAAATTGGCTATCAGAGCTAATCCCAACCGCGTGGATACTGAGATCTTCATATGGATGCATCACCTGACACCTTCCTAATTGTCTCATCACTTGGTAGGGAGCGTAAAGCTGAATACCTCGAAGACCTATTAGGAGGAAGTAAGGACCTGTGACGGGTATATACACAACATCTTCAACAGGAAGCTTACCTAGTGTCCATTCTATTTGTCCCGTAGTGATGGCGCGAAGGCGGGCTATCCATTCTCCAAACCCCTCCGGTAAATTGAACCCTGAAACCCTTGTGTTGAATTCTTCAATGTAGCTTTTCTCTGAGGATCCATAACTCATATACTGAGGGTGGTGGCACAAGTGCTCGATCATCCATATTTGTAGTAGCAAATTGCATCCCTCGAAGAAGTCTTCCCCAGCTTTACAAGCCGTGAGAGCTCGGAATATTCTCAGACACTATCATAGGGGCGAGAGTGCTCTTGGCGTTGGTAACCAGGACCTTGACAACTCCAGCTACCCGCAAATCGATATTCCCGTCTTTTCGGGGAAACACCACAAGGCCTAAGAATGCTACCATGAAAGCGAAACGCCTATGCTCATCCCATTTGTTCGGTTCCCTTTACTGCAAACCCCGCTTTCTGGATCATTTAACCCTCTTACATGCCCGTACTTATGGTATAAAAAACGTAGAGTGGAAAAAACCCCTTCCAACTCGGAATATGGGATTCCCTTGTTTATCTTTAGCAAATCCATGAATTTGTGAGAGTTGACGGCCCTTGGAGTGATCAGATACTTATGCCTCAAACCTGTAGTATTTTTCATATAACCTTCTATCTCTTCCAAGGTCGGGGCGAGTTCAAAATCCGAGAAGTGAAATACGTTATGGGTCGGGTCCCAGAACGTAACCAAAGCCTTTAGGATGTCTCCTCTAGGTCTGATTTTTAATAACCCGGTGAGACCTCCAAAAATGTAGATTGACCTTATCTTGCTCGGACTTGCCCAGATCTTCCCACCACATATGCAACTCCAAAGGGATCTTGTTCATAACTGTTATCGGAAAACTTGGACTCGTGCTCATTCTGCACATTTATTAGGGTGATTAAGCAAAAATCAAGACTCATTTGACTCGGAGACAAAATTGACACACTTTTTCTTTTCCCTTTTTTCAAAAATAAAATTCGGTTTTGCAAATACGGCCTTTCAGCACCTCGAAGACGAAGATTTTAAGGATGTATTTGCTAATTGGTGAAAACCTTGAAAAATGGCCACAGCCAGCTGTTTTTGTAAAAACAGCCTTCCGGCGCCCTTTTAGGGCCATTCGGCTATTTCTGACAAGAATGGAATCACCCTAACTATTTTCAAATAAAAAGTAAAATATTTGTTCTTTTGGATTATTTTTGCAAAAAGGAAGTTGGACCCGATGGGGGTTGCCTACGTATCTCACACCCTGTGAGAATCAAACTGGCGTAGTTCGGGCAAATAAAACGAACTATTTTCGAAAAAACTCCTTTCTCATTTTTAATTCATTTTCTTTTCTTTTTTTTTTTTCAAAAATTCGATAGAGTTTCAGCGCTATTTGGACACTGGTTTTTCTTTAAACATGTGATTCACTCTCTTAACCCTTTACACTGCTATTTCTTTCCAAATTCTCTCCTTTCATTCCAAAGCCGGTAAACATGCAAATCCTGAAGCAAATAAATGCGCAAGTAGCAAGTAAGACGCATCAGGATGGTCCTTTTATTTCGGGTGCACCTGTCCTAGACAGACCCAACCCCTGTGTTGAGTCTCCACAGTCAGAATGCACATGATGCAAACAAACATTCCTACTAGGTATCCGGCATAAGGTATTGTTATCCTAGGTTTAAAAACCTAGGTTTATTTGTTCTAGACCTGGCTTACCCGAGCGGACAACTCGAGCC